GTGTGTGTGGCCAGCTCAGCCCACCAGGGGGCGGGGCTGGCTGGCATGTGGTGCTGGGGGATCGAACCGTGGTCACTGTGCTCTGCTAAGCTTGCTCCAAGTAGGTGCTTTAGACCACTGAGTCATCTCACCAGCCCAGAGGCTGATTTTTTTTCAAAAAGCTACATCCCACTTTGATTAACAGCCCCAGATTATCACAATCCTTACCTGACAGTTCAAACTGATAGATGGCTTGCGTGGCTTTTACAACATCATCACTGAGAGCATCCTTAACAATTCTAAATGTTTCTTCCACAGGTCCAGAACATGACTTTGCCTGTGCCTGTGATTTCTCTTCTTTTAATTCTGGAGCAGCACCTGTAAAATATTACTCATGTAAGTGGCTTAAGGCCAGAGCACTGTAAAGCCACATATAGAATTAATTAATTAGCAAGACACTTATGCCATCAAATAAGACTTCAAACATAAACGACTAAATAAATGTACGTAATGTACAGATCAAACTGATGAAGCAGCAGCCATAGTCATGACTATCAAAGTAAACAGCTTGTAAAAGGCTCACTTTCAGGTTAGATTACAAATAAACAAAACAAAATCATTGCTTAACAATATAATGCTTGAAATAGTCAGACCTAAACAAAACTACTGGCATCACTCTTTCATATCTTTCTGAGTTCTAAAAACAAGTGAGAAAACCAGGAAACTGAGGCGGGGATCACTGTGAGCTCAAGGCCAGCCTGAACTGTACAGAGACCCAGTCTTTAAAACACACACACACACACACACACACACACACACAAAACAAATGGGAAAAGAAAATCCTGAAATCAGAAAAAATGGAGCTCCAAGTTATCAAATTGAAATTGGTGACATAGAGAGTTTAGCTGGAATCAGCAGCCAAGTGAACTCTGTAATCACTTTACCTCTAATCTAAATTTATCTGCCTAATGGTCTAACTCATGTGTTGACCTGCACCCTCCTATCAGAGGTTAGAAATGTTCTGCAAGTAGAGCTCATGTGAACACGGGGGACAGCCTGCTCAGGAAGAGAGATGTGTAGAACAGTCTTGGCTACACAAGCTTAGCTTCTTCTCCCCTTGTTATCCACTGGTGCCTCCCACTGGATAAAAAGAGAGGCCAAACTGTTCCGTCTTCTCTGGATGCTCCTCTACCTGAAAACCCCAAGCCAGAGGAGTGGAAGTTTCCTGCAACATTTTTAATTTGAATCAATTTAACCCACTTGTTATAACAATTCTGTACATGGTTAGCCTGGGGAGAGGATAGTAGTTGATAGGACTCTTCTGCCCTCTCATAATACTGTTTCCCAAATTAGTCTCTGTTCCTTTATTTCTTCTGAAATTGCATAGGGGAAGCTTAGACTTATCTTCAGAAATGAATAAGAACAATTCACTAATCAAACGGATTCAAGCCCACGCTCCCATGTTGTCCAATACAACTAATCCAAGATTATAAAATTAAATCTAATTGATGACATAAAGACAGTCTGTAAATATAATGAATATAAACTTGCCAGGTATGATGACACAGGCCTGTAGTCCCACCTACTTGGGAGGTTGAGGCAGGAGGATCAGAAGTGTAAGGCCAGGGGCCGGGGAGATGGCTCAATAGGATAAGCGCTTGACTGGCAAACGCAAGGATCTGAGTTCAATCCCCGGTTCCGCCAAAAAAAGAAAAAAAAAAAAAAGTATAAGGCCAGCCTGGGCAACTCAGACCCTCTCTCAAAATAAAATAAAAGACTGGGGATGCAGTCTTTTAAAAGGACATCTATGCAATTAAATGCAATATCTAACTTGGTAAAACACTTATTTGCAGGGACGAATTTTTAGTTATATTTGCAAGATCCTCCCTCACTGGGCTCCAAAATATTGAGATTATAGGTATTACAGGTGTGTATCACCACACCAAGCTGATCTTGTTATTTAGAAACCAAAGACATTTGCCAAGAGATAAACTACATAATTTTAAAAATTACGATATTTATGTATTTCAATAATAAAAGTGCAGTGAACAAGGTAATCAGTTCTGTTAGAAGGTATATAAGCCTAGGTGAAAATTACTACTATGTATCAGAAGCCTTAAAATGTCTTTCCTTTTGCAGGTAATCCCAGCACTGGGGAGGCTGAGGCAAGAGGATCATAGGAGGTTGAAGCTCAGCCTGGGCTACACAGTAAGTTCAAGGCAGCCTGAACTACAGAGCAAGATCCTCTCTTAAAAACAAAACAGGGGGGCTGGTGAGATGGCTCAGTGGTCTAAAGCACCTACTTAGAACAAACTAAGCCAAGCAAAGCACAGGGACTGCGGTTCAATCCCCCAGCACCACATGCCAGCCAGCCCCGCCCCCTGATGGGCTGAGCTGGCCACACACACAAAATAAATA